AGTTCTAACAGTTTTTTTGGTGGAGTCTTTAGGGTTTTTCTAAATATAAGTGTGAGATCATATCATCTGCAAACAAGGACAGTTTTATTTTCTCCTTTTCAATTTAGATGCCCTTTATTTCTTTCTATTGCCTAATTGTTCTGGCTAAGACTCCCAGTACTATGTTGAATAAAAGTGGTGAAAATGAGCATCCTTGTTTTGTTCCAGATCTTAGAGGAAAGACTTCTAATTTCCGTCCTCAGTATGTGATGTTAACTGTAGGTTTATTATATCATAGTGTTTCCACTTTGAGGTATGATCCTTCTATACCCATTTTGTTGAGCAATTTTTTTGAAGTCCTTTGTAAAGAAATTATTTATTTATTTAAAAAATATGGAGGTACAATTCAGGATTAGGTAAGCAAATGGTCATTGTACTGGTAAAATTTGGGCCTGGCTTGATCCCCACTTCGCCTGAGACCAGGCACCCTTATTGATGAGGTGTGCCCTCCTCCATCCCCTGTCAGTGTCCGGCTACTGCCAATCCCTGTCTTATAGTATTATGATAATTGTTAAGGGTCCGCTTATGAGTGAGAACATGTGGTACTCAGTCCTCTGATTCTGCGATAGATCACTGAGTGTTATAGACTCTAAATCCATCCAAGTTGCCGTGGAGTTCATAATTTTATCCTTCTTTATTCCTATGTAATAGTCCACGGTGTATATGTACCACACTTTTTTATCCAGTCCAGTTTCAATGAGAAGCATGGTTACTTCCATGTTTTTGCTATTGTGAATAGTGGTGCAATACACATGCATGTGCAGGTATCTTTTTTTTTATAGAATGCTTTGAGTTCCTCTGGGTATATTCCCAGAAGGGGGATTGATTGCTGGGTGGCTGTACTAGTTTACATTCCCACTAACAGTGTAGAAGTGTTCCTTTTTCCCTGCATCCTCTCCAGCATCTGTTGTTTTTGGGGTTATTGATGATGGCCATCCTGACTGAAATTAGGTGGTATTTCAGTATAGTTTTAGTTTGCATTTCTTTTTCTTTTTTCTTTTTTTTTTTTTTGAGTTGGAGTCTCACTCTGTCGCCCAGACTGGAGTGCAGTGGCTGCTCCCGGCCACTGCAGCCTCGACCTGCTGGGCTCCAGCGATCCTTCCGCCTCAGCCTTCCAAGTAACCGGAGTTACAGGCATGCGCTACCACGCCTGGATGAATTTTTTTTTTTTATTTATTGTAGAGATGAGCTCTTGCCGCCTAGGTGGGTCTCGAACCCGCGGGCTCAGGCAGTCCACTCACCTCAGCCTCCCAAAGGCGTGGGATTACAGGCTGAGCCACCGAGCCCGGCTAGTTTGCATTTCTTTAATGATTAGTGAAGCTAATATTTTTTTCATGTATCTGTTGGCTGCTTGTGTGTCTTATTTTGAGAAGTGTCTATTTGTATATTTTGCCCACTTTTTAATAGGGCTGCTTTTTTTTCTTTTAAGCATGTTTGAATTCCTTGTAGATCCTAGATATTAGGCCTTTGTCAGATATACAATTGGCAAATATTTTTTCCCAGTCTGAGGGCTGTCTCCCAGCTCTCGTGATGGTTTCTTTTGCTTTGCAGAAACTTGTCAGTTTGATGAGGTCCCACTTGTTTATCATATCTCTTATGGTATGGGCACTTGGGGTTTTGATCAGGAATTGGTTGCCAGTTCCAATTTCCATAAGAGTGTCTCCTGTGTTTTCTAAGGTTTTTATAGTTTGAGGTTTTATATTTAGGTCTTTGATCCATTTAGAGTTGATTTTTATTATGATGATAGGTAGGGGGTCTTGTTTTCATCTTCTGAATGTGGTCAGACAGTTTTCTCACCACCGTTTACTAAGTAGGTACTCACTTCCCCAGTGGTTGCTGGTGGAGGCTTTGTCGAAGGTGAGTTGGTTGAGAAATTGAGGTTTTGCTTTTGGAATCTTTATCCTGTTCCATTGGTCTGTATACCTGCTCTTGTACCAATACCAGACTGTTTTGATTACTGAAGCCTTATAGTAAAGTTTGAAATCTGTAAGTGGGATACTTCCTGCTTTGTTTCTTTTGCTGAGGATTGTTTTGGCTATTTGTTGAGCATTTTTATCATGAAGAGATGTTGGATTTTATCAGATGCCTTTTTTTGCATATATTGAGATGATGATTGAGATGCATTTCATTTTTTGTGCTTTATTCTGTTGATATGATATATCACATTTATTGATTTGTGCATGTTGAGCCATTCTCATGTCCTTAGGATAAATCCCATTTGATTATTGTGTATTATCTTTTCGATGTGTTGTTGATTTTATTTTGCTAGTATTCTGTTGAGGATTTTTCAGTCATGTTTATCAGGAATATACAATGGTCTGTAGTTTTCTTTTAGTGATATATCCTTATCTGGTTTTGGTATTAGGGTAATGCTTGCCTTATAGAATGAGTTAGGAAGAATTCCCTTCTCTTCAATTTTTTGAATAATTTTAGAAGAACTGCTATTAGTTCTTTAAAAGTTTGGCAGAATTCAGCAGTAAAGCCATTAGGGTCTGGGGTTTTCTTGTTGGGTTACTGATTCAGTCTCATTGCTTGTTATTAGTCTTTTTAGGTTTTCTTTTCTTACTGATTCAATCTTGGTAGGTTACATGTGTTCAGAATTTTAGCCATTTCCTCTAGGTTCTCCAATTTGTTGGCATATAGTAGTTCATAATCGTTTTTAATTATTCTTGGTATTTCTGTGGTATATCAGTTGCAATATCTCCTTTCTTGTTTCTGATTTTATTTAGTTGAGTCTTTTCTCTTTTTTTCTTTGTTGATCTAGCTAACCATTCATCAAATTTGTTTATCTTTTAAGAAAACCAATTTTTTTCTTGCTTTTTAAATGAAGAAAAATGAATTTTTTTAGTCTTTATTTCTACTTTGATTATTATTATTTCTTTATTTCTGCTAAGTTTTGGTTTGTGGGTTTTTTTTTTTAGTTGGAGTCTCATTCTGTCGCCCAAGCTAGAATGTAGTAGCATGCTGCTCACAGCTACCGCAGTCTCGACCTGCTGGGCTCTGGTGATCCTTCCACCTCAGTCTTCCAAATAGATGGAACTACAGGCATGCGCTATCATGCCCAGCTTATTTTTTGATTTATTGTAGAGACACAGTTTCATCAAGTTGCCCAGGTGGTCTCAAACTCCTGGGCTCAGGCGATCCTCTTGCCTCAGTCCAAAGTACTGGGATTATAGCCACCGAGCCTGGCTTAGAGGGGACTTAAGATAGTAGGATTTTTTTTTTTTTTTGAGTTGGAGTCTCACTCTGTGATCCAGGCTGGAGTGGGGTGGCATGCTTATTGCTGCTGCAGCCTTGACCTGCTGAGCTCAGGTGAACCTTTCATCTATTAGGGAGTGAGAGAAGAGATTTCTAACCTGAGTAGTAGGTTGTCTAATCAAGACTCAAACTATTTGTGGTGAAGGCCCATTTTTTTTTTTTTTTGGTGTTCTATAAACTATAGATGCTTTTTTATCAGTACACTTAAAATATATATAAATTGATAAGAGATGAGTTTTGTTAATATTTCTATCATCTCTCTTTATACATGTACTGTTTTATTAAGCTACTAAGATAAGAAATAAAATTGGGTCGGGCTCGGTGGCTCAGCCTGTAATCCCAGCACTTTGGGAGGCTGAGACGAGTGGATTACCTGAACCCCCAAGTTTGAGACCAGCCCTGGGCAACTTGGTGAGACCTCGTCTCTACAATAAATCAAAAATTAGCTGGGCGTGGTAGCACACACCTGTAGTTTTGGCTGCTTGGAAGGCTGAGGCCGAAGGATCGCCTGAGCCCAGCAGGTCAACACTGGGGTGGCCCTGAGAGTGCCACTGCCCTCTAGCCTGGGCAACAAAGTGAGACTACAGATTAAAAAAAAGAAGAAGAAGAAATTAAGGTTAACTGGTAATTGTCCTTAAGTCAGAACTTTGGGTATGGCCCATTGTGATAGAATGATTGTGAATAGAGTTGATACTGCTTTTGCTTTTCTGATTCTGAAAACAGCTCATTGTTGCTAATCAAGAATGAAGCTTTGAAAACTTTTCCAAAAATTGTAGAGCAATACACATTGCTAAAACACAATATAAATGAATTACTAGAGATATGATTATGTCATATCAAAACGCTGTAGAAGTTACTTATCGTTTACTCTCAGTTTCAGTATTCACCTCTTTGCAGACCTGTAGCCAATGGTTCTTGGACCCCAAGTTCTGACTTAAGGACAATTACCAATTGTAATTGCAGACTACACTTTGAGGGTCACTTCCAGATGGCTATTGAGTTGTGAATAATCTAGAGTCTTTGATCTCAACAAAATTATTTTTCCTCTCCTTTTCTTATAACTTTTTATGTATAACTGAATTTTTATCTCCTTTGGTATGGCTTAGAACCTTATTTTGAAAATTCACTTGTAGTTCGGCTCTTACTATGGTTTTATTTTATTTTAACCAGGTTTAATTAATTAACTTATTTTAATATTTAAAAAATGTATTTATTTTCTTTTTTTACATTTATTTTTCTTTATTTCAATAGCTTTAGGGAGTACAAATAGTTTTTGGTTACATGGGAGCATTGTACGGTGGTAAAGAAGTCTGGGCTTTAAGTAGACCCCCCCCCCATCTGTACAAGTCTTCTTTTGTAACTTATGTTTTACCTGTTTAAAAGTTCTTTATAGGGATCTGGTATTTGGGTGGCAAGTAGTGGGAACATTTTGACCTAGCAAGCAAGAGTATTTTATCATTGACCTTGTCTAGAATTGCTGACACATGGCGATAACAAATAGCAGATCAATTTTTGCTCAGTTTTATTTTTGCTTTTAACATCCTTTACAGACAATGCACCTGTGTATCTGGGATGAAATGCTTCCACTGCCCCTTTGGTATGACACTGGCCTTAATTTAGAATTAATAGTAAAAGTGCTTCCAAGTTCTGTATAACTATCAGTTAAAATATATTCAAATTATCATTATCTTCACATTTTATAGGCTGGTGACTACTTCTCAAAGGCTTTAAAATTTGATCCAGAAAATGAATACATTCTCATGAATCGAGCTATTGCAAATACAATATTAAAGAAATATGAAGAAGCAAAAGAAGATTTTGCATATGTAATTGAAAGCTGTCCCTTTTGGGCCGCAGCATATTTTAACAGAGCATATTTCTACTGCTGCTTAAAGCAATATGAATTAGCTGAGGAAGACCTTAATAAAGGTATATTTTTAGTAATTATTTTGATAAGACTATAGTGGTTGATGTGATTACTTTTTTTTTTTTTTTGAGTTGGAGTCTCACTCTGTCAGCCAGTCTGGAGTGCAGTGGCCCGCTCCCGGTCACCGCAGCCTCGACCTGCTGGGCTCCAGCGATCCTTCTGCCTCAGCCTTCCAAGTAGCCTGAACTACAGGCATGCGCTATCACGCCTGGCTAATTTTTGATTTATTGTAGAGACGAGGTCTCACCAAGTTGCCCAGGTGGGTCTCGAACTCGTGGGTTCAGGCAATCCATTCGCCTTGGCCTCCCAAAGTGCTAGGATTACAGGCTGAGCCTCTGAACCCGGCCAGATGTGATAACTTTTAAACTTCAAAAGAAAAAAATCATCGGGCTTATTTGTCTAGATAAACTTACAAAAGAATTAATGTTTTTAGATATCATGTCTTTAACGTAATCAATGTAGATTCCTTTATATAATATCTTAACTTAAAGCTTTGGTAAGACAGATATTACGTAAGACAGAATTATTAGAAAGCCATACACAAACAATGCCAAACTTTCAAAGAAAAGTATTTTACTGAGTTTCCCCAAGTTCGTTTTCTTAGAAAGATTCAGTATTTTAAATTTAACTAAATAGTTACATTTGAAGAAAAATGGTTTCAAATAAACAGTATTAAAGTTCTTATATAATAACCTTTTTTATTTAAAAAAAATAATGGTAATTTGGAGTCCTAGCCTGAACATATCTTGACTTTTTTTCTTTTGCAGCCCTGTCTTTGAAGCCTAATGATGCTCTAGTACATAGTTTTAGAGCAAAAGTTCGTGGCAAAATAGGTCTAATTGAGGAAGCTATGACTGACTATAACCAAGCACTTGATTTTGAAGGATATGCCTCAGTGATATGATGACACAGACCATGATTTCCGTAGCAGTTTACACAGCTACTCTCCCTGAAACTGAAATGTATTTGTTGTCTAGAAGGTTGCACTATCTTCTTATATATTCCTTATGTCTAGTCTTCTATGTAGCCCTACAATACGTATTAAAAATGTTTATGCTATACATTAATTATAAAACTTTTAGATCATTTTCTGCATATTTGGAATACCTCAGTAATGAACTTCTGCACAGGATGCGGAATTTAACGAAGAATGTTTCTTAAGGAAACACATAGGAATGTTTCTTAATACTTAAAATATTTTCTTTAAAGTAATTTCCTTTGAAATAATACTTCATGATGACACTACATGGAAAAAGTGTCATCATCCTCTTCATGAGTCCCTCTTCATAATGTATTCAACAGTATCCAGGTTTAAAAAATAAACATGGAGTTGATGACTATAAGGAAATTGAAGTCAAGTATGTTTCCTCTCCTTTGAACAATGTATGTGCTGGCCTGTTTTCTTCTTGGTACCAATATTCTTCCAACAGATATACATATTTCTTTTTCTTTTTTTTAATTTTAAAGATGTGGGGTACAACTCAGGGTTAGGTATACAAATGTTGATTATGCAGGGACCCTTGTTGATGAGGTGTGGTCCTCCCTCTCCTGGCAGTTTTCCTCAACTGCCAATCCCATCCCCTCCAGCAGTTTCCCACCACTGTCAATCCCTTTCTTATAGTATTATGATAATTGTTCAAGGTCCACTTATGAGTGAGAACATTTGGTACTCTGTTCTTTGTTTCTGTGATAGATCACTGAGTATGATTGACTCTAAATCCATCCAAGTTGCTGCTAAGTCCGTATGTTTTTCCTTCTTTATGGCTGCATAATATTCCATTGTGTATATGTACCACATTTTTTAATCCAATCTTGCTTCGATGGGCAACACGGCTGGTTCCATGTTTTTGCTATTGTGAATAGAGCTGCAACAAACATACATGTGCAGGTATCTTTTTTGTAGAATCATTTGAGTTCCTCCAGGTATATTCCCAATAGGGGAATTGCTGGGTCATATGGAAGGTCAATTTCTAGTTCTTTTAGAAATCACCACACCGTCTTCCAAAGAGGTTGCACTAGTTTGCATTCCCACCAGCAGTATAGAAGCATTCCTTTTTCTCCGCATCCTGGCCAACATCTGTTGTCGTTTGCTTTATGAATGATGGCCATTCTTACTGGGGTTAGGTGATATCTCAATGTAGTTTTGATTTGCATTTCTCTGATGATGAGTGAGGCTGAGCACTTTTTCATGTGACTGTTGGCTGCCTGCATAACTACATTTGAGAAGTCTCTATTCATGTCTTTTGCCCACTTTTTAATGGGGGTTTTTGTTTTTTTCCTTAGGGCATGTTTGAGTTCCTTGCAGATCCTAGATGTTCGGCCTTTGTCAGATATAACATGTTTCCTTTTCACATGTTTCCTGCCTTCCAGGACAGTACCTACAACGATTTTGAGCATGAAGTTTCCTTGAGATAATCTCCTTTGCTTTTTTAAGGCAGATTTTAGGAATATAAAATATAAAATCTGTATACACATAATTTGTGTATCATCATAGTTGATGAGTAAAAGTAAATTAAAATAGCTAGAAATTCTTTATAAAAATGTCTCTGAGGAATTCTCAAATGAACCAGAGAACCCTTTCCCTTTGCTTCACTGATAATAATAAGACTATCTAACTTTTAATTCATTCAGATTTGCTTCACTCAGTTTCTTTGCCTTCTTGGTTTTGGTCTTTCCATATATCTCTGTCTCCTCAGAGACTTTCACTGTGATCAGGCATTTTGGAAAGAATACTTCTATCCACTCAACTTCCTTTGTTCTTAGTTCGATGTCCTAGAGTTTCACAATAGAAAGCTGATTTAAACTTGTAAGCCACTGTGGGATGTGTCACACTATTTCAGGATAATTTTCTTGGCATGTTATATGGGTCCATGTGGGGATTTGGTCGTCCCTAGTGAGTTACTTCAGTTGGCAAGTCAGACACATTTAATAAACTACTTCAGATCCTCTTGTCCTCATTGATCTCCAGATCCTCTCATTCCACAGCCCTAGCTGTGGAAGATTAGGGCTGACCTTATGATTGCACAGAGAGCCCCTCATCTCTAGCCTGTACCACACATCTCTCGCTAACTGCTCTGGAGCTCCTCTCTTAAAGCTGAGGTGTTGGATGCTGCAGGATTCTCTCAGTGCCCACCCATGTGTGCTATGGATGTGCAGGTGATCCATGTTCCTGCCCAGTAAATCTTTGAGGATGGAAGAAAGTTTAGATACACTCTAATCCCTTCCATCTCCTGGTGGAGTGCTCTGAGACACTCAGTTTATATAGCTTTCTAGAGGATGGTCCTGGGTGATCAGGCAATCAGCAGTACTTACCAGTTGTCACCTTCAAAACATACCTTATACTGGTATTTCTGCCTTCCCTGTCTCACTCCCTTTTTGTCACTGTCCCTGCTTTCCTGGGATCGTACTTCTTGATCCAGTAGTAGCACTGAAGCATCTGCCTCAGGCTCTACTTTCTAGGAGGATCCCAGGCTAAGATGTAATTTAATATTTAATAATCTTAATATTAATAAGATTAAATGTAATGTAATATTTCTTCTAATTATACACAAATACTTATAACATGGGGCAGGATGTGATAACTGTTAGAGAAATGGTACAAAGCAAGGATCATAAGAGCATAGTGAGACAAATTGTGTCTAACTTCCCAAAAGGCTCTCTGTCCCCTGGCCCATAACCCCTTGGTACCCACAGTTTCTGTATGCATTGATAGCTGCAAGCAGCTGTGATTTTTCGCCCGAGACATTTCTCTCAGTCCATGCAGAGGCCAGGACAGAACTGTGGAGGAGTTAATGACACTAGCAGCAATGACAGTTGGGAATTAAAGGACAAACTCTTCAGATCCCTTGCCTGTTGGAGGATAATTTCCTGATATCCCCAGTGGGGTTGAGCCTCAATTACCCACCATATAATGTTCTCTATAACACACTGTTGGCTTTTCCCCTTCCATCTTACCTCCTGCTCCCCTAGTGAGCCTCTTGTCCTCCCTGATCTCCAGACCCTGGATCTCCTCTCAGGCAAACCACTTGCACTCAAAATCTTGTCTCAGGATCGACTCCTGGAAGAACTGACTTCAAGATGGCATCACTGAGGAAGAGACGTTTAAGCTGAATCCTGAGCAGAGGTAAATGGCCCATGGGCAGAATTGTTGAATAGTGAGGCCCTCTGTGCAGACTGATGCCAGGACATAGACACAGAAATGGGAAAACAAAAAGCATACGTGGGCTGGAGCAGAGAATTTTTGTGAGAAAATAATGGGAGGAAAACACGGTCATGTAGTCAGTCAGACATGGACGATTCTTATTGATAAAAGAGTTAAGACACAACACAAGGAGTCAAGACATAAATGTGTGTGAGACAGATAAATAGAGATAGAGATAGAGAGGAGAGAGAGAAAAAGAGAGCGAATGAGAGAGAGAGAGAGAGAGAGAGGAGAGAGGGGGAGAGAGAGAGACAGAAAGAGACAGAGAGAGACAGAGAGAGAGATTTCTATTCTCTTCATCTTCCTTGTCTCCTTCCATTCTCACATTAGGAGACCATGGATATTTGAACATCACTGATCATAATTAAACATATGTAATTCAGTCAGTACTCTCAGAAAACCGTTTTCTGTATGATAGTTGGAAAATCTAAGGCAGATAAAGGGAAAGATAACAGGATGAAGGCAGGATGGAGGGAGGACGGAGAACAAGGGAGAATGTGACTTCAGGAGATCACGGGAGCCAAATCAGGAACTGATGCCCCAAAGGGAAGAGCAAAGGAATGTCTAGATGCTGCCTTCTAATTTTAGTATTGATTCTTTCAGCAGGTAGACTAAGCCTGCATACTTTCTACCATACAACCCATCTGTTGCTTGGGTTTCATTTATTTATAACTTATGTATGAGGAGTGAGCGTCCCCCAAACTGGAATTTACTTAAAAATTGTGTATTTATTCTTACATGTTGAAACTTCAGTTACCTTCAAAGTACTCTCCATTTGGTGCAACACATCTATCGAGACACTTGTTCCACTGCTCAAAACAGTTTTAGTACTTGTCAGTTTAATGCTTTCTAATGCTTCTGCCGTTTTTGTTTCACCTCTTCACACTGGCAAAACATTTCCCTTTGTAGATTTTTCTTCATCTGGGGAAACAAGAAAAAGTCACTCAAGGTGAAATGGGTTAGTAGGGAAGGTAGGGCATAGGGCACATGCTGTTTTTGTTTAAAAACCTCTGAGCACTCAGCACACGGTGGGCAGGTGTAGTGGTAAATCACCCATCATGAAATGGGCAAACTTATTGAAAGACTCTCCAAAAAAAAAAAAAACTTAATTGAAGCAGGATACAGTCTCTCACAACTGTACCACAAGGAGCCCACTATCCTAAAAATTATTCCAGTTTTTTGAGGTCTTCCCTCATATAAGTACATGTATGTGCAAGGGCACATATACTGCTTTTATTGATGATTATGTCTGGGAGGTTAAAATTGAAGGGAGAGAGGGAACAGGAGATCTTTATTTTTACTTCATTTTTCAAAATTTATTTATTTATTTATTTATTTTTGAGTTGGATTCTCACTCTGTTGCCCAGGCTGGAGTGCAGTGACACATTCATGGCCACCCAGCATTGACCTGCTGGGTTCCAGTGATCCTTCCACCTCGGTCTTCCAAGTAGCCAGAACTACAGGTGTGTGCTACCACACCCGGCTACTTTTTTGATTTATTGTAGAGAAAAGGTCTGGCCTAGTTGCCCAGCTGGTCTTGAACCCATGGGCTCAAGCAGTCCACTCGCCTTGGCCTCCCAAAGTGCTTGGATTACAGGCTGAGTCATCGAGCCCAGCCTACTTCATTTGCAATGTCTTTTTATACATTAAGATGAAAGATGAGCAGTTGGATTGTAGATGAGTTTTACTTTCAATTTTATTAATTTCTGTAATTTACAGATTTTTTTTTTGTTGTGTGGTTTTTTTTTCTCCACTAAAATATAAGCTCCATGAAGATAGGGACTTTGCCCTTTTTGTTTAATTTGGTGTCACCAGTGCCTTTAGTGCCTGGCAACTAAATGATGCTCATGAAACATTTATTAAATA